TCTCAAGTTTAGATATAAATTCAACTTGTTTCACATTAACACGTCTAAGCTCATTACGTGGGTTTAATATAAGGTACCTTTGCCATATTTCCTGATTGCTTTCAGCGCGATCATGGCCTCCCCAAAACTTCCAAATGTCTCTCCTACAATGTAATCAACCCCTTCTTGCACTGCCCATTCCACCTGCTCCTGTTGTTAGAAGAAGAGTCTTAGAGTTTGAGTGACAGGTAATTCGTTTCTCATCATTATGCTATTGAAAAAAGGCGATCACCAAACCACGAACAAAGTACGAGATATTGCGGCTTACAGGACTGTTAAGGGTGTAGCAGATCCACAGAAGATTAGTTTCTGAAGCTTATCTCTTCGAAATGTCAGTTTGAGTATAAATCTCGTTGGTTAATTAAAGACTCTCTAGGTATAATACTGCAGTGTTAATTTGTGAAGAATCTCCATTTTAATGAAAGGAAAATGCAAAAAAAAGAAGAAAATAGAATGCAAATATATCCATGATGTAGCTATTATTTGCGGAATACGTAAATACATCAGGAAACAGAACAACGCTAGTGTCCGACATAATGTTGTTTCTCCTACACCACAACTAGACTCCCAGGTCAGATTGACTTGGAATCCGGTATTTATTTTAGAGCCTGACTCCTTTCTGGGACAAAAACATCAACCGTTCTGGGTCGAATAGGGCCAAAATCACCCAGAAAGGCCTGAAGGCACCGGATTCCGGGTAAATTTGACCAAGCGTAGTGCATGATAAAATGCTTGTAGCTGAAGCCCATTAATAAAAGAATCCTTACACAAAATATCCTGTACATTACCGAAGAATTAAGAGGAATTAAGTCCACGTAGTTTGGAAAGCCTCACGGAGGTTGTCAAGGCGTTTTGGTATGTTAAAGGTAGCTGCACTTTGTCTTTAATGCGTACTTTCAAAATGCATCTGTGTGTCTCAGTTAACCTTACAGTCAAAATTTGTTTTGACTATTTTGTTGCCACTATTTTGAATAGTATTTTGTTGCCAATTTCTATTGTATGCTAATGAGATTTCCATATTCATGAAAAAAACTTTGATGTCCTTTTATATGAAGAAAGACTTAGTGTTACATTGGTTTGTACACAAAAAGTCCTGCATATAGATTTTGCTGAACTAAATTTTCTTTTCTTTGCTGATTCATTTTATATTTGCATAGCAAACATCAATCCCTTTCTCAGAAATGTTTTCAGTGAGTATATTCTGGGTTCGCATTTAAACAGACAATCCTATGCACTGAGTTATGTCTTCCTTGGATAGCAACACAGCAACAGCACCCTAAGTTGTACTGGAAAACATCTCTATCTTAAATTTTTAAAAGTGCACTTCTCGATGCATTAAATCAAATAGGTGTTTAAAAGAGCATTATACGTTGAAGAAGAGTACGAAGTTGCAGAGAAGTTGTGTCTAAGAAAAAAATCATTGGAGCTACACTTTAAAGATCCTTACCTTGAACATAGCGTCGATTTTTGATATGCAGTCCAGATCGTCCGGGTCGAATACCTCGGTGTTGCTGATGTTTCCTGCCATGAGCGAACCGGTTTCGTCAGCCACTTCTCTGGCGATACGTAATGCCTGTCGGTTAATCCGCTCCAGGTCCGCCTCTCAGCCGATAGAAGCCAGCTTCTCACGATGAGCGTAGTACTTGAAAACAAGTCCAAAGGAAACTCTCAAATAAAGCATATTTTAACACCTAGAATGCATTGTACCGGATCGGAAGCGTTCACGATGGCATGATTCATTTTTATTAAATGCACCCAGTAAATATTTTGTAGCAGGTTATTTGGTGTTGAAACTTATGCATCAGATAGGAAAGGCCCCCATCTCAGTGCTTTGCAGCATGATAAACATACAGATTGAGATGCAATCATCCGGTAAGCACTGTTTTTATACTGAGGGGAAGCATGTTAATATTCTGAGGACAGTACCCCTGTAGTGAAGTAGGAAAATATTATAACTTTTGGTTCATATTTCTTTTAAACATACACGCATATAGTCTGTAGCCTAGGTCCCCAGGATGGGTGGCTTGTGGTGGCCTTGTAGTGACTCAGAATGGACTGAGCTCTGACTTTAGGTAAATCTTCCCCACTGTGGTAAGATTGTCCCAGCTGGCCAACAACTTTTGATAAAGCAACTCACGGTTTGAATACATTGTTAAACAATTTCAGCAACATTCTACATGTATAGTGCACTTTTTAAAAGACAGATCTTTGGCTTATACCCGAAATGATACAACAGCAGTAACACTGAACCGCCACTGAATTTAATATTACCGTAAAGGCAAGGACTACATCACTCCCGGCATGAACAAACTCCCGGTACTGCTGACGGACGAGCTCTGGGTGTTCCAGGACAACCTCTGGAACAAAGGCGCCTGCCTTGAGGTACCCACGACGCTCAAACACAAACAGGTATCCCTCAGCGCAGATGACTCGCCCTCCATGGCTCAATCGCTCTAAAAGTCCTGGGATGATGGACAAGAAAGAGCACTGAATGAGGCAGTACGCACTTACAAAACTTCCCTTTGCAGAGGCAAAACATGACGATGCATCGCCCGTTGTGTGTTCATCAAAAGTCATTTATGAGAGAACAAATTTACAGGTT